AAAAAATGAGCCATGTAGGTCCACGTCTTCGTGTAGCCCCCATATAACGGTACCCCCCGATATTCGGTATTTTGATGATTTTAGCGACATTATTTGACGGAATCGTTCCAAATTTGGTACTTGAAGTTCGTAATAGATACTGCAGCATAAAACAGAAAATGGGTCATGTAGGTCCACGTCTTCGTATAGCCCCCATATAACGGTACTCCCCATATTCGGTATTTTGATGATTTTAACTACATTATAAACAAATTTTTCTTCAAGTTTCGCATTTAAATATTGTAAAAACTTATGACAAAAGTTGCCTGTGCAGGTCCACGTCGTCGTATAAGCATTTGGTATTTTTAAGATTTTAACAGAATTTGTAACGGATTTTATTTTATTTATTTATTTATTTTTTTTTTTTTTTTTTTTTGGAAATTGCCAAATTTTTACCAAATGGTGGAGGGTATTTAAAGTTCGGCCCGGCCGAACTTACAGCTTTTTTACTTGTTTTCTTTCTAAATCAAAAGTATACAGTAATCGACATTTCAACCTTTAAACGCTAATAAATGACAAGTTTTATTACTAGATGTGGGCTATGCGAAACAATTCCTATCTATAATATCTCTAAAATCTTAAAAATATCAAATTTTGGGAGGTACCGTTATATATAAACTATACGAAGACGTTGACCGACATAGCCCATTTACGAACTTAACCTGTCTACTGGCAAATTACACACCTCTTCAAAATTTTAGCCTTCTTTCTCAATTCGTTCGAAATATAGGACAGACAGTCAGATAGACGGACGGAAATCTCTAAACCGACTTAGAATTTTACGCTGATCCAGAATATATATATACGTTGCTGGGTCTGATATGAGATTTTCGAGGAGTTACTAACGTAATGACAAAGTTAATTTCGAACATAATGTCAGTTATCTTTTTGCAAATATTTATTCTAATATTTTATTAAAATATCCACGCTTTGTCTGTGAAGGTTCTATAGCTCGAACGAGACAATACCTATTGATAGAAACAATTAGTCCCAAGACGGTATTTTTGAAATATTAAAGAACGGTCAAAAGAACTCTTTAGACAAGAGTAATATTGGAAAATATTTTTTATTATGTATTTTTTCCGCATGCCCCTTCTGGATCAAACAAATGTTAAGGATTTACCTTAACCCACATTGCATTATAACCCATGACATTATAACCAATGAAAAAAAGTGAAATTAATTTTTTTCAAATGTTTACTGTGTTAACCGAATCTCCCTTTATAATATCGAAAAAACAAATTAGTAACTAGCAGATTCTATGAGGTTTTGGAGCAGAGCAATAAAAACAAAAAAATGACTTCATCAGGTTCATCGAAACCTCCAATTGAAAAGTGGCAAAAAAGCATTGTTTTAATACTTGGTCTGTTCCGGAATTGCAAGAATGTATAAGGTTTTTACTACGATAACCGATTTTCCCTTTATGACATCGTTAACAACAATATTTCTAATCCAAACGTCTTCACTTCCATGTAAGTGAAAAAATATGCTCAGAATCGTGAAATATTAAAGAAGCGCAAATCTCAATCCACCTCCAGTTATTGTGACCTGATCGGACCCACCTATGCATCAACATTGCCAGACCAATCAATAGTACGAATGTCAGAGGAGAACACAAACAAACAACACCAAACTTTTCGGTCCAGGCAATGACGATTGGAATGACAGAGCTGATTGTGGCGATGGCGATGGCGATGGCGATGATGACGATGACGCTAAAAACGTCGATGCTAGTAACGATAATGATGATGGCCCACTACGCTGCGACTACGTCTGTATGAGGGTTTGTGCAAGTCGTCTTGCTAGTCGGACAAATGACCTTCATAACATGATGTATGCTAGATTCGACAACACACAACCATGTGAAGGGGGGAGTCACATACCAACCCACACGCGGAAACAGCCAGGAGCAAAACAACAAATGTAAGTAGGGGAAAAAGAAAAACTATTGTTGTGGGTCATAGAGTGTGCGGGTGTTCTTCCACCTTGGCCTTTGCCACTGCCCGACGTCTCACCCAAAACTACAGGAATATCCCGAATTTCTTTGCAATCTTATTATTGTTGTTATGTTGTTGTGGTCGCTGCCGTTACTTTGGACTTGTTGTTCCTTTTGTGTTTTGAGTACTCCGATGTGAGCTGCACCAATACTTTGAATGAAGAGAGTAAATTTTCCTTTGGGTTTTTCCTTTTCTTATTGTTTGCTTTCCTTCATGGCTGTTTATTGTTTGCTTCGCTTCGCTTCGACAGAGAGCTTTGCTTTCTCTTGACAGGATAAGAGTGCACATGGGTAGGCAAAATTTCGCCGGTATCAGCAGAGCATGGAAATGTAAGAAATTGTGCCAAATGGAAAAGGAAAATGTGAAAATAAGGATAACATGCGGCCAAACTATGGAGATGCTGAAAGGGAACTTTGCCTGCGAGTATTTTTCTTCCTTCATCTTTGGCTTTGTCCTTTCTACACACAGTTGTGTGTCCCTCTGGTTAGCAGTGACTAAGATGACGACGGTGATGATGATGATGATGTTGCTTATGCTGATGCTGAGGATGTTGACGAAGAAGAACCCGAAGAAGAAGGAGCGCCAAAAAAAAAGAAAATCACTTGGCCGTGGTAGTCGACCAACGCAGAGAAGGCGTGCTGAAAAGGAGCTATAATAAAAACATTTGCTGTTATGTTCCTTTCGGTTCTGTTATTTTGCTCTTGACTCTACTGGTGGGTTGTTTGCTTGATGGTTATGGCGACGATAATGGTGATTGCAATGGCTTTGATGGCGTTGAAAATAAAGATTGCGTGAAGCAGATTTTGCTTTGCTCCATTCTCTGCAAAGAGTGGTGTCTATGTCTATGGTATATCTAATGGCAGTTTTGAGCATTTCCACACACACACACACACACTCACGCGCGAGCACTGTTGATTTGTGTTTCTTTTTTGGCATTTCACTTTTGGCAGACTGTTGCTTGTGTGTAAATGTGGATGGCTTTGTTTCGTGTGTAACGATGGTCGTTAAGATGGTCATTAGCAGGGACCCCCTTCGCAGGACCCCACGGCTTTTGGGGCTATTGTCAATGGTAGTGTTCATACCACTTTCCCTGGTCACGCGAAACTATGGAAGTTTTAGTCTCTCTGCTCTCGCATGTTCCTGGCTGCTGTAATGTGCAAAGGCTAGCTATCCAGCTCAATGTCAATCTGTGGAATTGGCCACAGCAATCTTTGGAAATTTAGTTATTATTGAGCCGTCGCCGGTTATTGTTCGCTTCGCAATCGAATAAGAATGTCAGTCGATGTGTGTTTCGGGATATCCTTAAGGGATCGGTTCCCAGCTGGATTCTGAGTGGCCAACAAGTGACCATGTGAAACGCGACACCATTCATAATCGGATCATTGTTGTTGTGGGTGCCCAATCATGTCAATATCAGAAGTACGACTAGCGAAGTAGCACTAGCAGCAACAACAACATAATCATATGTACAATATGTTGTAATGATTTGGAATAGTTTGGATGTAGGTGTGTGTGTGTGTGTCACTAGCATTTACAAATTCAAACACACACACATACATGTACACACATAGAGATTCATTTCAGCACACACTCCTCCTGCCCGATGACTAGAGAAAGACAGCAAGAGAATGAGTGAGGCGACGTGAGAGCAATATCGCTCTCTTTCATTTCAACCCATTAAAAACAAAAAATAACGCCAAATAAAACCGACATAAAAATAAAATTAAAATTAAAAAAGCGCTTCATGCAAAAAGGGAGAATTATTATCCTTTTTCGGTTGGTTATTTTTGTTTTATGTTCGTGTTTTTCGCCGCAACTCACACACACACACAAACACGCACACACTTGCTCACTCACTTACTCACTCCCACTGCCACTGCCACACTCGCAGCGTACACGAAATAGGAAAACTTTCCCCTTTTTGTGTGATGTTGCACACAACACGTCGGCACAACTGTGCCAGTGCACTGGTTTGGGCGAGAGCTTTTCGCCTCGTCTCGCTCGGCGAAGGGGATGTTTGCCGATTGGGGTTGTTTGTTGTTATTTTCGTGTCTGTTTTTTAATAGACAGAGGAACTTTTTTGCCACTGCTTTGCTTTGGCATTTTTTCGCTGTTCACAATTGGCATCGCATCCCATCCGCCGAAGCGACCGACAGGAGTCTCACTGTTACACTGAGTGTTTAAGGGAGGCTGTGGTGGCTGGCTCAGATACTGCTGCCGACGACGATGGGTGGTGGTGATGGTTGTGGTGGTGGTTGTGGGTGGTTATTTGGCTGATGTTAGTTTTGAATGGTTTTGGTTAAAGCGTTATTACTTTTTTAATGGTTGATGATGTTCCGCGACTGCGATGCTAGCCGCAGCCATCGCTGTCGGCTGCGCCGCGAAATAGAAACAAATTTAAAATTAACAGAAAAATAAACTACACGCCGTGTGATTAGAATAAAACACTTTCTGTTGCCACCGCAGTAAGACACAGACAACTCCGGGTTCCGTGCTTAACATCTACTTGCTCCGTACGATTTCAGCCACCGACTGGAGTTCACCATCAAGAACTTACCCCCACCCCTAGCCGAGGCAGCCAGAAAGACACTACAAAAGAGAAGTTCGGATAGTCCAAAATCTATTGCCTGGTCTTTGGTCCGTGGCGGTGATCTGCCACCAGTGTTGTCACTCACGACAGATAGAGAGAGCACAAGTGCAAAGAATAAAATAACGGTGTTTTCTAGTCGCACCTCAGCCCACCTATCTCAATCCCCAACATCCCGTTGGTAATGCAACGTTTTCTGTGTACGTGTGCGAGTGTGTGTGTCCACATTTGTTATTGTGTTTGGCCTGCTGCTCTGCTACCAATCCGTGCTACCACACATCCTTCTGTTTGTTGTTAACTGGCTGCTCTGTGCTGTGCCGTGCTGTGAGTCTTGTTGTTGTGTTGTTTAGTCACTCGGTCGCAAGTTTAGTCCTTAGTCCCATGTCCTGCAGTTCGGTTCACTTTAAACAACAAATTCAGAAACGGCTTTTCCTAGTCAACCTTAGTTCAAGTTTGCTACTGGCAAAGTGCGCGCGTATTTCACGGACAAGACGAACTGAAAACATAATCAGCCATAAAAGCAAATCCATTCGAATGCAATAATAACAACAAAACAATAAGAATAACTTTAGTAATGAAACATAACAAACCCCAACAACAGTAGCGACAATTTTAATCGCAAATAATAATATTAACAAATAGTCGCTCAACAACAACGACAACAACAACAGCGGGAAATGTAAAACTCCAAAGCCGGATTATAGAAATGTGCAATAGAGACTCCTAATCGGTCTTCAACTTCATCACCTAAAAATTTTTGTTGTATTTATTGTTGTTGTTAGTGTCGCCGTGTCTTAGTGTAATCATTTTAAAACAAACGAAACGAAACGAGTCCTGTCACAAATCAGCTAAGTTCAAAAAACATAACTCCGAGTCCGTGTTCAATTTGAATCAACCGTGTGTGCGTGTGTCTGTGTGAATAACCTACGAATCGATCGCAAGTGACCGCAGAGGTTCAGAATGTTAGCGGGCGAAAAGTCGGTAAGTTAGTAACAAATTAAGAAATTTCAGAGCACCAACTGGCATCGTTTCGGACATGGCATCATTAATGGACTCAAATCAAGAAGGAAATAAAAAATCGCGGGGTCAGAATGGTTATGCGTCTGTGGGAAACAACTTCAAAAAAGTACACCTTTTAATTCTCTATAAAAGAATGTGCATGTGTTTGTGTGCCTTTGAATGGTCCGGCAAAAGAACTCCTCCTCCTGTGGAAAAGTTATTCAGGTCTTATCGAGTGCAAGTGCCATTGTGCTCCAACTCCAGTCAGATCAAATAAATCCAACATTAATTTTTTAAGAGTTAGAACTTTAATATAATCCCTCCTCGTTTTCTGGAAATAATGGGCATCTCCGCCAGACGATAAAATACCAAGGTCCAAGTTATAGAAGTATACCGTCAGCTAATGTTATTTTATTAAAATAATTTTTGACTTGCGTTACGATTACTTAAAATCTTCTCCCTTTATTAGGAGGGTACCGATGGAGAGAGCTAATATTTTCCTTTTCGAGTCTGACCTAAGTCTGACGTGGCAGATTTGGACTACTTCCGCCACTTTATTAGAGATAGTTGTATTTATTTTATTTGAAAATGTTGAACTATTGTGGGTAAAGTACCAGAAGGAGTGGGCTCACATTTTCCCTATTTAATGGAAATATAGAAGTACATTAAGTCTGAAGAAAATGTTATGAGAGTTATGAGATTTATAATTATTTAAAATGTTGACCCTTTGTGGGAGATGTACGAAATAATTTGCCGATTATTCCCATATTCATACTAGATCTAATGTAGGTGAAAGTATCTGAGGGAGTGGGTCGTAAAACCATATTCACATTAGATCTCGGTTTTCGTATTTACTTATATCAAGCGTTATAAATACTTAAAATTTTGACCCCTTGTGGGGGAGATACGCGAAGGGTGGTTCGATATATCCAGTCTTCATACATAACCGTGTGTTGATAAAAATATTGAGATGCGCGAAACTTAAAGACTTATTATCTTATTATTTTTAAAATTCTTAGCCCTTTGTGAGTGAGGTACTAGAAGGAGTAGGTCGATATTGCCCGTCTTAGAACTCCATCTATGCCAATAACATTATTACGATGTACCAACAATGGGCTAAATCGTATATTCCTTCGAGAGTCATCGTGCACACCAGCCAGCCAGACAGACATGCGGACGGACGAACGGACCCCGCTAGATCAACTCCAAATGCCCTGGAACAGATTTCGTCCAAAAAAACCTAAAATCTAAAACGCTTATTTCAAATCGACACGCTTTGGCTGTATCAAAGGTATAAACAATTAAAATATACAGAAAAGACGCACATCGCGTTTGTCGGTGCAATTGAAGTTCAACACATTCAGCAATTTGGCTACACTTAAATATTGACACAATGGCTGAAATGTTGAAGAACTTAAAAAGGAAGATAGGTTTGGTTGAACCAATCCACCTAACCCTCTCGAACAAAGACATTAAATGAGGCAACTACATATTGCCTATTTGCTCAAACCAGATAATATTTTGCTGTTCACTCTCACTCCTGTCAAGTCATGACAACTGCTGGTCGCCAGCGAAGGAGCTTTTAACAACCCGAATCAGAATGACCGTCAATTTTTTGTTTTATTATTTCTTTAAATAACGTATGAATTGACTGTTTTATTTTTTTTTTTATTAATCAAATATAGTTTCTTTAACACAGAACAGTGTTGGCTTTTTTGTTTGGGATACCATAGTATTTTGTTGTTGCAAAATGGTCAGGCTTAATCCTTTTATTGTTGTTTTTATAAAAACAACGTTTGTTTATTGGTGGAGAACAATGGTAATGTTAACCAGGGGGTAAGGCAGTTTAACACTTTTATCCAAATCATTCTCCATTTGTAGTGCTAAAAATTTTATCAGAAATGTTGAAGGTGAACTTCTCAACGCCAATAAGAAACATGCAGATTAGTTCAGACCCTGATAGTCCGCTTCAAAAAGCTCAGATATCAGAAGTTACAACCTCTAAAATTTCGCTCGCTTTCGTAGAAGCTATAGTCTTCGATATGGCCTCTTAGACAAAGTTGTAATTTTTTGATAGGATTTATCTACAGCGCGTTCCTCCATAGCAACCAGTCACAAATATTCGTTTCCGATCATTTTTAGATGTCGGGTATCGGTCCTCAGAAAAACACAGAGTTTTCTAACCAAATTAATATCCCAATTAAATAAACTTACCTAGTTATTCTAATTGTGTCACTTGGCGTTTAATTGGCTTTTACGAAAATGTTGAAGATCGTTCTTCGTCCATTATCCTTTTTCTACTGAAAGTGAAGTCAGTCGTATTGCAATTGAATTGGACCACAAACAATATATGGAAAATCACAATGCTGAATATATGTCATCAATATTAAATATTCAACAGGCAGGACTCAAATCCATATCAGATATCTAAGTAAGAATTAAAAACAAAAATCTTAGGAAGAGATATTTGTGCGATGTGTGTGTATGTGTGTGTAAATTGAAGTACAGAGGAATGCAAAGCTTAAAGAGTGAATAAATAACGGCTTCCAAAAATACACAATAATGTGTCTCATAATTCAAGCCATTTGTAAATTTGGAAAGTGGTCTTGATTTGAACAGTAATAGCCCTCCAGTAATAGGGACACTTTTTTGAAAGAATTTTGATAAGCCACAATCTATGGTACTGGTCGCAATTCCGACTAGTATTTAAAAAAAGGAATACGTTAACGTCGTTACTTTCGTCAAATCATCTAAAACAACCGGAAATGTCCATGACTTAACAAGGGCTTAAAAGCGAAGAAACGTCGGGTTATTCATTGAGTAGGTCCGTTCGGCTGGCTATTTGCTCCCCAGGAGATAACAAGTAAAAAAGTATCGGTCGGTTTTGCCGACAGATGTATACCCTCAGCCAATGTTCGAGTATTTAAAAATATTTTGACTTCTGTTATGATTATTCAAATGTTTAACCCCTCATGCAGTAGGTTCCGAAGGAATGGGCCAATTTTGGCCATTTCGTATCGGACCTAAATATAATGATATAAATATTGCGACGTGCTATGTTTGGACTGTGTTGTGTTGATGGTAATATTGGAATGTACCAAGTATTGAATGGAATCTTAATGGATATTCAAAATTTTGAGCTATTGTGGGGGAGGTAACAGACGGAGTGGACCGACATATTCCATCTTTACAACGGATCTTTTATCAGTGGAAACAATGGGATGTGTGAAATATAAAGAGAACCTGATGCTTATTTCGGATTTTATAAACGTTTTGGTTATTCAAAAGGTTGACCCTTTGTGGGGGAGGTACCAGAAGGAATGGTCCGATCTCTACCTTGTTTTTTACCAGATCCTGTGTGACCGATATATTCCATCTTAAAACCAGACCTTGAGTTAATATAAATATTGGGATGTGTGAAATTTCAAGACAATTTGACTCTTACATCACATTTTATGAGAGTTGTAATTGTTCAATTGATGGTGAGGACAGATATTGTCCATTTTTACACCTGACCGAGCACTTTAAGATTTGCAAAGTTGGGACAAAATCTGATTATGGATTCTCCATCTGTTCAAAAAATATATATTTTTGAAAATTTCGACCATTTGTGGGGGAGGCACTAGAAGGAGTGGACCGATATTGTCCATTTTCGCACCAGACCTAGCACTGATGCAAATATTAGGATTTGCAAAGTTGAAGCAATTTCGGGTTATCGTATCAATGGGATGTGTGAAATATAAAGAGAACCTGATGCTTATTTCGGATTTTATAAACGTTTTGGTTATTCAAAAGGTTGACCCTTTGTGGGGGAGGTACCTGACCGAGCACTTTAAGATTTGCAAAGTTGGGACAAAATCTGATTATGGATTCTCCATCTGTTCAAAAAATATATATTTTTGAAAATTTCGACCATTTGTGGGGTAGGTTCCAGACCTAGCACTGATGCAAATATTAGGATTTGCAAAGTTGAAGCAATTTCGGGTTATCGTATCATTTCTGTGCAAAAAATATATTTTTTGAAAATTTCGACCATTTGTGGGGGAGGTATCAGAAGGAGTGGACCGGTATATTTCATCTTAATACCAGAGCTTGGTTTAATATAAATATTGGGATGTGTGAAATTTGAAAGAGTTGTAATTATTCAAAATTTTGACCATTTGTGGGGGAGGTACTTGATGGAATGGTCCGATATTGTCCATTTTCACACCTGACCTAGCACTGATGCAAATATTAGGATTTGCAAAGCTGGAGCATCAAAGGATTATCCTTTCTTTTTCTGTGCAGAAAAAATATTTTTTTTTTTTGAAAATTTCGACGTTTTGTGGGGGAGGTACCAGACGGAGTGGGCCGATATTGCCCATCTCCGAACTCGATCTAAGTTTGACTAAAATATTACGATGTACTATGTCTGGACCAAATCGGATACTCCCTTCGAGAGTTATTAAGCGCACCGGATTTGGTCCAAAGAGACCTAGGGTCTAAAACCGTTATTTCGATTAGGCAGGTTTTGACCGTATCAAATGATATATACCCTCTTTAGCCATATGGCTGAGGATATAAAAACAAATTGGCAAAAACGTTTAGACGATCGCAAATAAAACTAAAATTTCTTTGACATTTTTCGTATATCTTCCAACGGCACTTTTAAACAGATTTATTTATTTATTTTTTTCAAAAAATATCCCCCGGAGTTCAAGGGATTCCGGGGGTATTTTTCTATCAAACTGACCACATTTTGCAAGCGTTGCAGTTATTTGTACTAACGTATCTTAAATACAACAAAGCTATCTACCTGAGAAAAAAATACTTTGGATGCAAGCCTCCAATAGTTCACCTAAGTGTTTGGATTCAGTTGCCTCAATATTTTAACAATCGAATAACAAATAGATATTAGAAATCGGTGTCGACAGACCTTTGCTATTTATCCAGGAAATTCGACTTCTGAAGCACCGTGTGGTGTCTCGGAACAATGAAGCCAT